CTCGGCGCACTTTAGACAAACATGGAGGAATCCATAAGCCCGAACGATAGTAAATATAAAACATGCACCAGCCAGACAGGCGAAGACAGATAGACAAGTCTTGTTCCTCTGATCCTCAGGGTTTAGCCTTGCAAGAAATGAAAGCCACAAGTCTGGAGCAACTATAATGGCTGAAAGAAACACCATTAATATGTAGTGGTTGAAATGTATTTCTATATGATCACTCAGTTGAACATTGTAAGATTTATTGGGCCTAGACACCACTCGCCTTGATTAGCTACAACCGTTTCTATCTTGGAGATGTTTATGTAAGCACCACAACGTCACAGAATAAATAAAGCAGTCAACCAACCAACTTACCACTTCCAACCGGGCCGGTGATGACTGTTAAACTCTTTCAGGGTGCAAAGAAGTTGATATCCTTCAGAATAAATTCATCTTCACGATGCGCTTTTGCGTAGCTTAAATTTGACACACATAGATTAATAGGCCCTAATTCTGTTGCTCCACGAGAGAGGGAAACTTTCTCCATATTTTCCGCTTTTCTTCCAAGTAAATGCGACTTTAGTTACTTGAGGTAATTTTTCCTTTTTATTGGGGCTCGTTGCTTTTACCACTCTCCGAGGCTTCCAAAAGATTTTCTAAAAGAAGGAATTCTTCAATTCTTCCGAGCGAAACGTAGGCTTCATACGTTAACATTAAACCAGAAGTCATGATCAACATACAAATAAATTTAAAAAACCCATAAACGACAGCAGCATGAAAACATTCACGGGCGTAAAGGTCTGGCCTGTATGCACCATAGTAACTACCGACACCAGAGTGGCCAGTGGTGTTGCACTGTACAATAAGGCATCGATTCTTGACTGAATGACTGTCCTCTTCGAAACGACGCTGGTTTCATTTCTAGAGATAAAAGGTATTCATAAATTATGTGGGCACTCAGTGTTCTAACTAATTTGAAATATTAACGAGGTGAGCGGGCGCCAAGCGCACCTTTCCTCATCGTTCTTTGTAAAAGTGCGTCCCATGCGACCTCACGACAGCGTATGAAAAATAATACCAACTGAAGTCAAGCTAGATTCAATGAGATGTTCTACTTATAATAACGAACAACTATTCTTTAAAAGTGGAGGTGATATCCACCCCTTTCACCGACACTGAGGTAAAAACGATTACAATATTTACCGGCGCAGATTCTGCGCGAGTCGCTCTAAGGTGAATTGCAAAGGCTATTCGGAGTTTGAGTAGCCAATCATTTTCAGAGTGCGTTTTTAACACTATCTACTCAGTATATACTGATATTTTTTAACTGACCGGCCAGTCCTGCCGTTATGATATGGGTTATATAAGACACTTCTTCTCTTTGAAAAGAGGAATTCTGATTGGCTCATACAGCGGACCAAAGCTTTTTTGTTTTTTTGGCTTATTTAAACTACTAACCTAATAAAGCTCTCAATTGAGACAAAACATATTTGTGGATTTTGAATAATTTGGGTCAGCAATTAAGGGAATGAATAAAGATAGTTGTTTTAGCCTACTTCTGATAAAAACTGACAATTTACCTTACCTTCTTACATGTTTTATCTTTCGTCCATATTCGTCCTCCCACGCTTGCGTTTTGACAGCGCGGATCCCGGAAAATACTTGATTCATTAAGGAGATTCGCTGATCGGACACTACAGCTGCGCGCAAGCGCAGCTTCGCATTAGCATAGGACAAGACGGCAAAGTATGGCATGAGAATACACAGGAGGAACACACCCGTAACAGCCTGCAAACCAATCAAATTGTAGATAAGAAATATTTCCCCTGCAAAAGCAGGGACTGCCAAAACGGCTGTGAAAAAAAACTTGACTGTCTCTTCTTCCATTTTTTTAACATCATTGGATATCAGGTTTAGAAGCGTCTAAAAGAGAGTACGGATTAGACACTGAAGGAGAAGTTTGTTTCATAAACCATTTGATTTTAATCTCCGGCATAAAGAAATCCGTGGCTGTGTTTTGAGACGAGAGTATCCAAACCTCTACCAAATTATCTTTGAATGTGTAAAAAGAGCGCCATTTTGAATCTCGCTTAAAAGCACGGCCGTGTACGTTGTGGTTTCTGTAGCCTGCCTCCCCATTAACTGCTGATAAGTTAACTGTTTGTTTCTTCGTTGCCTTTGTTGGTGAGCAGGATTGCTTGCTCTCGCAGAATCAGCAACCACCGGTGATGTTTAATAACCCTCTACTCTTAGGTCTCCATATGGCATAAGCTGATTGCAATCGATTAGATTTCTGGAAAAAATCATTCTATATAGGAT